CTAGGAGCACAATTTCTCCTGTTATGAGAGAAATTATTTCTGATTTCATTTTTTCCAGATCCCCTTTTGTTGCCAGTTCAGAGGGTCCAGGTGGTTGAGTATCAGAGTGTTCCATCTCATTTCCCTGTGGGGTTGCTGTAGGTGATCTGGAAGTCTGGTTTTGAGGCTTATTTATGTGTTTTCGCATTTTTACTGGGGGGCGGCAGGGTGCTGTTGGCACCCACATGGATCTCCTCCTCTGAGCTGGGAGAGGTGGGACAGGGACTGGGAGCTGCGGTAGAGATGGTGGCCTGAAAGCCCATTCCTCTCGGCTGGGAGCAGCGGGACAGAAGGCGGCCCAAAACCCCTTTCCTCTGGGGTGGGAGCAGCAGGAGAAATGGTGAGCTGGAAGCCCCTTCCTCTGGGCTAGGAGTGGCAGCAGGGCTTTAAGGACTACTTTTCATTTTAATGATGTCATTTAAAGTTCTAAATTTTGATGGAATCTCATTTATGAATTTTTTTCTTTTATACATCATATTTTTTGTATCCTAGGTAGTTCTTGCCTACCCTAAATTCATAAACATTTTCCCTTGTAATTTCTTCTTAAAGTTTTATAGTTTTAGGCTTTCATATTTAGGTTCATAGATCCTTTCAAGTTATTTTTGTGTATGGAAATAAAGGGTTGAGGTTAATTTTTTATATACAGATACCGGGTGTTCTAGTGCCATTTGCTGAAAACACTGTCTTTTCCTCTCTGTTGAATTGAGTTTATATTCTATAAAATGTTAATGTTTAATAATCCTTCAAAACTCAGTGGACCATGTATTTGTGGTTCTATTTCTAGATCCTCTGTTTTATTCCAATGATCTATGTGTCTTTCCTTACATCAACACTGCCTTGATTATTGTAGCTTTAGAGGAAGTCTTAAAATTAGGTACTAAATGTCTTGCAACACTTGTTGTTTCTTTTTCTTCATACTTTTCTAGGTCCTTTGTACTCCTACATAACTTTTAAATTGCAATATCCAATTCTTCTTTAATAGCAAGTATACATAGATCTGAATTTTTATATATACCTTGTGTTTTCTAATCCTGCTAAATTCAAATACAAGTTCTAGGGGCTCCTAGAGATTTCTTGGTATTTTCTCAGTAGATGATCATTTCATCTACATATAAAGATTTTGCTTCTACCTTGCCAATCCTATCCTAATTGTGTCATTTTATTGCCAGACTATTTTGGTTTAGGCCTATGTTTCAAAGTTTAATGGACAGATGAAGAGTAAGCATATCTGCCCTTGTTCCCCACCTTAGGAAGAAAGCATTGTATCTTCTCCATTCATATAAGGCATTTTTGCTGGAAGTATGGAGTACATACCTTTAATCTGTTGAGAAGGTTCTGTTCTACTTCTAGTCTCCTGATAGCTTTTACCATGAACAGAATTTAGTCTGATACTTTTTTTCCGACTAGTGACAGGATCATATGGCTTTTTCCTTTCCTCTGTCAAAATGATGACTTTTGGGGATGGATCTTCCAATGCTGAACCAACACTGCCATCCCTATAACAAAACCACTTTCTACATCCTGCCAGATCTGACTTCTAATAGCCTGTTTTGTAAAACAAATTTCTATCTATATTCATACTTTTTCTTCTATTATCTTTGTCCATTTTTAGGATTAGCACAATGTTGATTTCCTAAAATGAGGGGAGAAGTGTTCCTTTTTTTTCTGTTTTAAATGTTTGATATAATTTATCATTTAAAATGTATATGAGCCTGCTGTTGTCATATAGGTAGGTTTTCAAGCTAGGAATATACTTTCTTTAATAGGTGCTATTCAAATTTTATATTTCCTCCAGAGTTAGTTTCATTAATTTGTCTTCCAAGGTACTTCTTGGAAGTTGTCAAATTTATTTCAAAGCAGATTTTTGTAATATGCTTTCTATATCCTTTTAAATTCTGTAAAGTCTGTCACAATGTCTCCTAGGTCTTGATATTTTAATTTTAAAAATTTATAATTGATATTGTGTAATAGGAAATAAAGGTCTAAAGGAGCAGGGGAAGTGGGATTGGTAGGGGAAAGGAAAGAAGGGAAAAGAAAAACTATGAGAAAAGGAAAAAAATGGAAACAAAATCTTTGCAAATAGGGAGGGGTGGAGGGGGTGAAGGGAGGGCAGGGGAAGGGGAAAAAATAATAACCAAGATACTCATGTAATGGTACAAGATCGCAATGATGCATGTAAATGTATTTTATACCTAAAATGTACTGATAAACTTAATGGGGGGAGAAGAACTACTCTGATATAAAAAAACATAAATTCCAGTCATTTTTTGAAAAATAGATTCATCTTGAAACCATATGTTAAGTGAAATATGTTAGAAATATGTTTAAATATATGTTTTCTCTTACTGAGAAGCCCAAATTGCAAATAAATGTAAGAAAAAATAAATGATAGATAATTCGAAATTGGTAAATTGATCTTTTGCAAAAGGTACATGAATGACCAGATAGAGGCCAGGGGGAGGGAGAGAGAGGAGTGAAGGAGTTGTGAAAAGATTTAAGATGTCTCATGTACATGTACCAGCCCCCACAATTAAGGTAGTCACTATGTGTTGCAAACATGTACTAATAAAAAGAAAACAAATAAAAAATAAAAAAATTAGCTTATTCCATACAGTATCCAAAAAAAGAACCAGCAATACCACAGTGTGGATATACCTCAGATAAATTCTCTCACAAGTACCTAGATAATATACAAGACTATTCATAACATTTATAATAGCATTGCATGAAATTATCAAAACATTTGCACTAACCATTTGCAGGAAATGAGACCGGAGAAACAGAATCTTGTTATTAGCCTAAGGTGCTTTAACTTTTGAGACAGTGGGAAGTATTGGACTCTAGAATTTTATTTAATTAAGAATACTCTGGTAATATTTTAGGAGGGGAATTAAGAGGTAAGAGCTGGAGGACTGGATAAGGGACTATTAGTGTCCAGGAAAGAAAAGGGAAATCAAGGTAGAAAGTTGCTATGGAGATAAAAGAATAAAGAAAAGAGAGATATTAAGGAGGTAAAAATCAAGGAATTATTGAATGGTTAGATAGGAAAGGGAAAGGAAGAGAAGGGAAAGAGAAGGGAGGGGAGGGGAGGGGAGGGGGAAGAGGATAGGGAAAGGGAAAGAAATGGAAAAGGGAAAGGACATTTCTGTCTTGGGTAAATGAGAGTCACCAAAGAGCATAATTTTTGAGGAGCTCTATGGAAAAGTAACTTTCGAAGAGCTCTATCTTTTAATGGGCCCACTAGAATAAATCATTTCCAACCTTTAACTCTAGTACATAAAATAAATACATTTATTTGTTGGATAGGGTTGTTTATAAGTATATGTGATCAATATGACATTTGCTACAAAGATTTAGTTTCTCTATAATTTAAATCATAATTTTCTGGCAATAGCTTCACAAATGTCTTTTAAGAAGCTCAAATATAACTGTAATTTCCAAATACTAACATAATGTCTGACATATCATGAGATCATCCCTGTCTTCTCTGTTCTTCAATCTGAGACTTGAATCTATATTCAAGTCAAAAGTATATCACATCCTTTGGTCAGAGTATTGAAATCCATAGAACTGTTTTTTTTATTTTGGTTATTTTCTCTGACAATGAAGAAGCAAAAACAATTGTTAACAGTGAGTAACTGTACATAATTGTGATGGCCCTCGTACTTATTTACAGCCCAGCAGGTACTTCCCTTCTTTAGGGGAATTTACTCAGTTTTCTAGGGGAAATTAATTCAGAAGTGACCTCATTCTCCTTACAGCTCATTCTACTTATGCCCAGACACTGACAGATGAGAAAACCTGACTGCAGGTAAAGAATTTTGCTGGGTCTTTTAAGAGAATGAAATATTTTTGCTTTCTACAGTAGCTACCACAGGAGACTCTCTCTATGCAGAATCGGGTAAGAATGTGAGTCAAAAATTGATAGCCATTTGTATTTGAGAGAAAATCTACCATGTAGAAGCAATGAAAAGACATTATTTGAAATGCTGGAGGAAGCTCCATCCAAAGCCAGGTCTAGCTATGGACTTTTCATTTGCATGAGCTTATATATTGCCAGTGCTACAGAGGCCTGTTGGTGATAATGTTGTATTCAGAAAGTTGTGTGTAATTAAAAAAAACCAAACAAACATTTCTTTAACTCTTTTTTCACAGCAGGGAAGAGCTTTCATTAAGTATGGATTTTTTAGCCATAATATTTAACATACGTAAAAGATACTGTTACTGTACAACTCAAAGAGAATTAAATTATGCATAGAAAGTACCAATTCCTCCTTTCCAGACCCAAACCATCATTTAACAACATAAATTAAACAGCTTTTTTATTCTGAAGTTACTTAGAAAAAATTATGATAAGTCATCAGCATTTACATTTAGGGTGTAAAGTAACAGGACTTATATTTTCCCATTTTATAGGGAAAGTTAAACAGGAGGAGTAGGAAAATATCACAGGAAAGTACTTTGTTCAAACACAAATAAATTATACATTTTAACAGAGTTAATCATAAGAATTTTCAGAAGAGTTGTTTCTTTTCTGCTCTTAGTGCAGTGTTAGTTCATTTTAAGTTGTAAAAGCTAAAAGAGATATGTGCTTCCAAGTTGTTTTGATATACTTTCAAAGTAACAAAAATTATGAAGTAGTCAATGTGAAAATATATTTGGTAGTTTAGCAATAAGGATAATGTTCTCCCACTTTATAGCTTTAAGAATGTCCTTTACTTATGGAACTAAAAATACTATGCTCTGAGAAACCAGAGGGGAAAAGTTCAAAAAGTAGTCCATGGCACTCCCCCGCCCCCACCCCATTTTGGTTTAGAAGAAGGATAAGACTGTTTGGATTATGTTGTTCTCTGATTTAGTAAAAACACTGCTAATGAATATATGTTAACCTTTAGGTTATCATCATTCTTGCCCTAGATAGATATGTGGTAAAAATAGACTACTGAACTGTCTAGTCAAATTTTTAAAGATGAGTTTGGATGAATTACAAATAACATCCTCTACCCTTAGATCAAAAAGAATATGTAGGGCCGGGGATTTAGCTCAGGTTCCGAGGTTGATCCCCATTACTAAAACATACAAAAAACAAACAAATAAACAAAAGAATACGTAAACTCAAATTTTAAAAGACAAGGGTATTTATTATAGATTCAAGTTTCATACTTTGTGTTAAAATATTTTATAAGAATATACATTTTAATGTTTTCATTATAAATGCATTCTGAATTTTAAAATATGCTCATTTTTAATGTGTTCAAAGTAATAAATGTTAATTTTATTTTTAAAATGTAAAATGTACAAAGAGCAGGTGGGGGAACGTGGCGCTCCTTTCTTGCTGGTCGGGCCGGGCTGCTCCCAAACTCCCAGACTCTGTGGAGGGGCTCCGCGATGCTGGCAACCAGAGCTTCCGCAGCCGCCAGTACCTCGAAGCATCAGCGCTGTATGGCTGCTCCAACAGAGCAGCCTGTCACGTAAAGGATGGAAACTGCACAGATTGCACCAAAGACTGCACCTCAGCACTGGCCTTGGTTCCCTTTAGCATGAAGCTTCTGCTGCGGCGAGCGTCTGCTTTTGAGGCTCCGGAGATACCTCTGGCCTATGTTGACTATAGGATTGTGCTGCAAATTGACAATAGTGTCACGTTGGCCCTGGAAAGTGTCAACAGAATGACTAGACCTCTCATGGACTCACATGGGCCTGAATGGCGACTGAAGCTATCTGCTATCCCTGTAGTGTCTGTCTCAGCCCAGAAGAGGTGAAATTCCTTGCCTTCAGAGAACCACAAAGAGACACCTAAAAACAAATCCAAAGAAACTACAGCTACGAAGAACAGAGTGCCTTCTTCTGGGGATGTGGAGACAGCCAGAGTTCTGAAGGAAGAAGGCAATGAGCTTGTAAAGCAGGGCAACCATAAGAAAGCTATTGAGAAGTACAGTGAAAGCCTCTTGTTTAGTAACCTGAAATCTGCCACGTACAGCAACAGAGCGCTCTGCCATCTAGTCCTGAAGCAGTACAAGGAGGCAGTGAAGGACCGTACAGCAGCCCTCGAGCTGGATGAAAAAAATGTGAAGGCATTTTACAGACGTGCTCAAGCCTATAAGGCACTGAAGGACTACAAATCCAGCCTTGCAGACATCAGCAGCCTCCTACAGATAGAGCCCAGGAACGGCCCTGCACGTAAATTGCTGCAGGAAGTTATCCAGAACCTGAAATGAAAATCCAAAAAGGCAGCAGGAGCTTTCTACCTGACCTTTGCAGGGAAGCCAGGGCCTTCCCTCTGCATCCACCCCTGAAACCCAGCATGCCCCGGAGGGAGCGCTGAAGCACCCCCTACCCCAGCCCCTAAGAGGCAGCAGCGTTTCACCCCTTGTGGGGCTTTTCTTTAAGCCCATTGTAGTCAAGCACAAACATTGTTTTGCCACAAAACTCCCCATTCCAGGTAAAGTGTGAGGCTGGAGCAGTGTTCCCATTCCTACTCCAGACAGCTAGAGAGGGTCACACACAGGTCCTCATTAGCAAAGCACTTGGCTTTATTCCTGCCCCAACTGTGTACAGACTGAGTGCTGCCTTGTAGTGTTAGCAGACCCTCCTTCTTTGCAATTAATCTGAACAGGCTAAACCCCTGGGCAGAGGTGGGTGATACACTGCCCAGCGACACGCAGAGCAGCCTGTTGAGCTGCATCTCCAGGGCTGCCATCTCCCCAAGGGTGCAGCTGCTGTCCCCATCTTGTCCTTGGCACAGTCTGCTGTATCTGAGCCCCGGTGCCTTTAGTCTTGGCCCCCTTTGGTGGGAAGGCTGAACTCTGCCCTTGGAGGCTCTGTCTTTGACTCTGCTGCTGTCCTCTGTGTGGAGCTACCCAAAGTATTGCAAGAGCCCGGTGGTTATGGCTGCTCCTCGTGGGATGGGGTGAGTCCTTGAGGTCAGTGTCCTTTCACTCTAGGCAGAATCTGCCTTTTTCTCCCAGCAGTGACCCCTCCAAGCTTCTTAGTTCTTTGTAATATATTCATTTGAAGTGACTGATTTTGTTAAGCTATCTATTTAAACTATTGCATTAAAGTTTCTTTTAGCCCCGCCCCCCACCAATGTACAAAGAGCAAATTTTATCCATAAATAACTTTTCTTAACATTTTGGTATATTTTATTTTTTTCATTTTTCTATCTGCATGTGTATTTATGCAGATTGTATGGTTATTAAAAATGGAGATTATAGGCCCAGGGATGTAGCTCAGTGATGCCACCACCTGCCTCAAAAGCGAAAGGTCCTGAGTTCAATCCCTGGTACAGAAAGAAAAAAAAAAAAAAAAAAGATTATATAGGTGCAAGTTTTGTGTCAATTACGAGCATTGTAGATGTGATTCACAGCTATAAAATATTCTCTCTCAGTTTATCAAATTTTTTTTCAGTATGACAGGCATAACACTGTAGCCTTTTGCCTATTGAGTATTCAATGGTTTTTATTATGAAGTTCATTAATATAAAGATAGTCATAAGTATTTCTAGAAAAGGTTTTTAGATTAGGGTTCAGGTTTAGAGTTAGGGTTGAGGTTCATGTATAGGGTTAGAGTTTGGGTTCATATTAGGGTTAGGTTTAAGGGTTTAAGGTTTATGGTTTACAGTTTAGAGGTAGTCCTAGGTTTCTTATCCCCATTGTTCCTCACCTCAAAAGAAAAAAATGAGCATTTTAGTTGCTTCTGCTCATGTCTACATATTTGCAACTAATGTGGTTGTAGTTTTTTGTTTGGTCTACTTTATCATTATTGGGGTTGCATACCATGGAATGAAGAAATCTCATGCTGATACTGCTGTGATTCTTTTCCACCCCTCTTCCCAATATATTTGTGTTATATCTTAGTCTATCTCTCTGGTTTCCTTTCTACAGCATCCCCACATGCATTACTCCATGTTCTTGTTCTGATCTCAACAGGGTGCTCTTCAGACCTACTCCATCTATTTCATTTTGGAGCTTCCTTTGACCTCTCTCCTGTGTTTAGTCTTTATTTCTTTAATCCTATGCTTTCTTTTTCTGTCTGTACTCTGATGATTTAGTGGTGCTCATCCACTTAACCTAAAGACCTCCTAGAAATTCTGCCTGGAAAGCCTGCTCTCTCCTTAGGCCATCTTTTAGTGTGTGTATCTTAACCGATGGTTTTTCCCTTGCTAATACATAAGAAACTCTTCTGTCTAATTTCCACTTTCTAGAAATGTCGTAAACATTGGTTGATAGTCCTTTGTCCATTTTCTTCATGTAGGCTTATAGCTTTCATTTTTCTCTGCTGTCCTTGCAAGGGCTGTGGAGGGTGGGAAAATACATGTTTCTTAAAATATAAGATCTATTTCATTAACTTAAATATTTTATCAACTGTACAAAAATATACAGTTTGTTTGAGATCCTTGAGAGAAAAATCAAACACAACAGATCCACCAAAGCAGTCCATTCTTGCATTCTTCCCATTTTCCCTTAAATTCACACAGCTTATAAATCCCAACTGCTGAAAGAGGCAGATATTAACTAAGGGAGGTAAGAATCAAGACATAGCTCAAAAGTGAAAGCAGCAGGGAAAGAGATGGACAGGACAAATAAGCTTGTCTTTTGTTGGATTGGTAGGCTGAAGTATAGTGTTCCATCTAAGCTAGGGCAATATGAAGAATTAAGTTCCTTATATCTAAGATTTCTAAACCTCCATTGATGACATAGTCTAAGCTGAGACATGTCATTCATTTAAATGGAATAGGAGAGGTAGTGGCAGTGGAAAGAAAGAAAAATAACAGGGATAGCATTTGCTCATTCTTTGAACATGCAACACTGACAACACTCTACTCATTCTATTAATTGAATCACCCATATCTTATAAAATATATTTGAGGCAGGCAGATAAGGACGTGGCTAAAATTAGCTGGGAAAGGAGGTGTGACAAGATCCCAGAGTACATGTGCGGAACTGTTCCCAAATCCCTGTATATGGACTTCTCATGAGAACTTGAGCAGGTTTTTGACAGGATGATTTTGACGTGATACCAATGTGGGAAATAAAAAAAGAGTCACCATTAAGGCTATGGTGCCTCTTCACGGTAGCCTATCCTGCATTATAGACTGTATTTTTATTTTTCCTCCCTTTCTACTCAGCCCAAACTTGCTCTGCAGAGCCTGTTTTCCCCCTACCCTTCTGTTTTTTCCTCTACCTTTAATAAATGTGAAAATTTTCCACCATTTATGCTTGTTTCATTCAATTGTTTGTCAGGAACAGAAAGAAACCACCTCCAGGAGACTCCAGCACCCCAAAACCACCTAACACATTTCCATAGGCCATATAGAATAGACCTTGGCTCCATTCATTGCACTTATTGGTTCCTAAAAAAGCTAATATATCATTCTCATCAAATAAAATTTATTTTAACTTTTAGGAGCATAAAGTGCAAAATATTTTCCCAAATGATCTGCATCTCAAAGTGACCAATATTTTATGTGCTTCTCATTTGAACTGCCAAAAATCTAAAACAAAGTATCTACTAATAATGACCACTTGCTGTTCTAGTTCAGATGTTTACTGAGTACATAGGGCTAGAACCAGAGTATGTCTTTGATAAAGAGAAAATAACTGATATTGAGCATATCCATAAACTCTGGCTCAAGCAGTGCATTTGGTGTCTTTTTGGAATAACAGTTTTTTTCCTAGTTGGAGGAATATAAAACTTGGATTGAACATGTTACCTTCCTGGAACTGAGGTCTAGAACACATGAAGACATTTCTCTCTATTGCATTTGCTAACAGAAACAATCCACTGGAATGTTGAGCAATATTTCTTGCGCAGGGCAGAGTTCTTTGGAATTTACTGAAAATAGAAAACTGATTACATTGGGCACAAAGGACACTACTATTTATAAAAACATTTAAGATAAGAAAAGACTTTTAAAAGCCAGGAAAGCAATAACTTTGAGGGAGTATTTTCAGAAAAATGTTGTAATCTTTTTAAATAAGCATAAAAGAATTGTTATATATTGATAAAAAATTATATGATTAATTGGCTATTTTAACCTAAAAAGATGAATTGCTCTAACTCTGGTTTGAAATCTCTTTTACTAAATATACAGTTTGATTTTATGTTCTGGCAAGTGCCCAATGGTCATTTATCTAGTATGCATACATTTCTACAGCTGGATTTTCAAATATGATTATAAAGTGCATATGACAGAACTATCCTAAAAATAAATATGTCAGCAGGCTTTGATGTATTTTATCCACTTATTCTGGATATAACATAACTTGGTACACACATAGACTACAATTTAAGACATTTTGAAAGAGCTATGTAAGTACAGATATCATTGTTTGTGATTGTAGAAGGTGATAACGAAACACCTGGGTTGAATATTTATACTCATGTCTTAAATCTAAAAGCCTTGCAGTTTTATAGTTATTCTGGAGGAAGAAGCAACTACATTAACACTTGTCAGTGTAACAGTTAATGCACTACTGAGATAGACTTGTAAAAGAATTATGACAAAAAATGAAGGGAACATTAAAAAGGATTAGCGTCTCATCAGCATTATAAGTTTAGGAATGTGTTTTAGAATTTAATCTTGGTAATATATCTTTTATATTTTGGAGTTTGGGAATATGAAGAAAAAAATCATTTCAATGAAAATTTAAATCTTATGTTTAAATGAACATCATTGTCTACAGTACTGTCTAATGGAATATTGCTAAGTGTTCCAGTAATGATGAAACAGAAATCAACAAGATATTCTTCTCAAGTTTCTTCTATATGGTCCTCTTGGTCTTCTTTATGATGTTATTTCCATGTTTTCCTTTCTTCCTTCCTTACATCTGCCTGATACCAATTGTTGCGACATCAGACAAAAAGCTTACTTAATGGCTAGAACAATATAAGCTATTGATCAGTAGGAAGAACCACAGGGTTTCTGTCTCTGCTCACTAGCAACACATTCACATCTAACAGTGACCAACTGGAGGTGCACCTCCACCTCTCTTGTCAGAGATCAGTTTTTGGACAGTGTGGTATGAATGTGGCACTGTAACTTAGGATGTAACTGTGTTACTAAAATGGGGATTTTCTTGGCTATGGGATAACATATTAGTCACATGAAATGTCACAATTTTGAAAAAGCTCTACAAGATAATCCTTACCAATGATAACATGTTTGAGAACTTACTCTGACCAACCATAGAGTAGTTTGCATGTATTGTCTCCTTTACATCTTTCAACAATCCTATCAGTTAGATACTTTTGTTATCTCTTTTTACTGGTGAAATATCTGCATCAATTGACTTTTTAAAAATTCACTGTTTATTGATACATTTTATGTTACAATATGATGACTCTCATCATTGGGAATTTGTACCTGTACATGATTATCTTGGCTCTTACTTTTTCCCCACTCCCCTGTCCTCCCTTCAACTCTTCCATCCCTCCCTATATACAAAGACTTTGTTTCCATTTTTTACCTTTTCTCATATTTTTTCTTTTCCCCTACCCCAACCCCAACATACACATATACACTTTCCCTTCCCCTTTGGACCTTTTCTTTCTATTTCACATTATCTATTATACATTTTGGTCCTCATTTACATATTCAGCTTTAATTAACACACTAATTACAAAATCAATGGCTTAAAATACCAATCTTTCATTTACTTCATGGTTCCATAAATTGGTGATTCAGATGGGGCTTAGCTGGCTGGGTCTTTGGTCTTGGAAAGGTTTAATTGACCTTGGCTGAACTATATGAACTTGTGATCAGCTCGTGAGTCAGTGGGGCCTCACCGACCTTTAAAGACTTTAGCAGGGCTTCTCTCTAGCACTCCTCTCTCCATACAATTTTTCAATCTTCTATCAACAAGCCTAGGCTTGTTCTTGTGGGATTCTCAGAGTTCTAAAACCGCTGGAATAGAAAATGCAATACATAGCTCTTAAAGTCCAGACTTAGAACTGGTCTATTTAGTTTGTACTGTCTCTGTTCTCAAAGTAAATCACAAAGGCTTCCAGGTTCAAAGAGTGAGAAAATACATTCACTTCTAAGAAGGAGCTTCACTGTGATTATTTTTGTATTCTACCATTGTTTCTAAGAAAGGTGTCATGACTTGCTAAGGACCACACAGTTAAAAAGTAAAGGAATTGGATTTAAATTGGAGCCCATAACCTGTACCATT